TGGGGCAAGTTCAAGTGGTTTGCTATTGGTTTTTTGCAATTGTCCGAGTGGATGTCGCCTGCAAAGGCCCGCTGCTGCGTTGGCCAGAGGTGACGCGATAAGTGGCTCTGAGGAAGGCGTGCGTATTCGGACGCAGGTGGGAGCGTGAGTGAATATCGGTCAAGTGGTCTTCAGGTCAGCGAGTGGAACAGCCGCCTGTGAAGACACATGACGTTGACACAGCGAGCATTGGGAGGGGGAACAGCATTAATAGCCGTCCGCCACAAGGGCAGTGATTTGATTAAGCGTATCTCTGCACACCCCCCCAACCCTCAGTTGAGTTGGTCTACACTCGGTTGTCGAACCGGTTCCCTACTTTCTGCCTGTGACTGTCTGAAACCGTCATGGGTTAGTTAAGTCCACAATCACTACAATCATCAGGCCAACTCCTCAGAGGTATATAAAAGGCGGAAGGCATCAGTGGGAGGGATTTATTGTGCACAGAACCCTGCGTTGCTGTCTGAGGCAGCAGTGGTCACTAACAAAGCCGGGGCTAGTTTGACTGTTTTCAGCCAGGTCTAAAAGAGCATGATACAGTGGTGACAGTTGCTTAAGTAGGATTGTGGAACAGGTTCAAGAGTTCTCCGCTTGTGCGTGTGGCATTACTCGACGGGTGTCGTGCTGGTGGCGTAGGCTGTGTTGGTCGTGGGTGGGTGAAAGGGCGTATCCAAGTGGCGCTTGGGCAGCGGCGACTACTTGAACGCACCTGTATGTGTGTGTGTCCGTGTCCGAATGGAAGTCAGTCGAGTGTCTGCACGCCAGCGCGTCTGAAAACACTGACTGAGATAGTGGATGACCTTGAGGCAGTTGGCCTTGAGCAAGGAAACCGGACATAGCACCGGTTACACTACTAGGCTTCTTATTCTGTGCTTGCATACCCTGAAGCCTGTTTGTTCCTCGTTGACGTGCGGTACTTTCTTACCGAATGACGCACTGCTGTTCTTTCACCATCCTCTATCCTTCCTACAGGTCTCAGTTTTAGCGCAAATGATGACGAGATGCGACTGGAGAAAAACTCCATCTTTCAACTGGAATTTGTTGGTGGCAAAGGCCTGACCATCCCCAATTCGGCTTCTGCGAACACACCCTCAGCGGACTACCCTGTGGCCTTTTCATTCGACGAGGACGACTATCCGATGGACGACGACTGCCTGCCTACCGGTCTCTGGCGTCTGCGCGGACAAGAGGACAAAGTCTGGCAGTTTCCACGCAATGGTCCTGCCCAGATGGCCCTGGAAAAGTGAGAGAACCTGTTTTTCTTTTGATTGATCTGTGCCCGTCTTTGCGCGCTCATTTCTCATAACTCTGCCGTACTGCCTGCTCGTGTAGGGAACGCGGCACCACCTTTGAGATACTCTTCCTCGCCTCCTGTCAGGAGACCTCAGAAAGTGGTCGCAATCAGCTGAATAACCGTGGTGGTATCGTTCTGCGCAGTCTTGACGGTATGGCGGTGGGAGCTAAGACGCTGGGGTGCATATCGACGGCCGAAAACCACCGCATAACGGAATCTTACCGACCCACAGAGTCCGAGGTCTTCCATCTCATTCCATTCCTGAACAGGCCCTCAATAGCTCTGTACTCCGCGCTCGCTTTTGGCTTCCTCGGTCCCAGCGCCTCCAGACGCGGAGATGAGCTGTCGCTGGATTGTGCAAATGCCATCGCGGAGGAGTGGTTCATCCGTCGACTGCACTCTGGGGCCTGCCGACTATATTCCCGTAAGTGCCCCACCCCCTGTATTAATCAAATTGTCTTGGGACAGTATCTGTCCTCAAGTCTCCTTTCCAAAGTTGACATTTCTTTCTTTTCTTGGATTGTTTAAGTTCAGCGATGATACCCATGTAAGCATTCAGGAAGTCA